AGAAGAACTGAGGACTCCAGAGCATAGATAGAATGGACACAAAACATCTGGGCCAGGCATCCACCAAAGGAAATCTCTCCAGCATGAAGCCACAAAATGGCTAATATCTTGGGTACCGTGGTGGAGCTGAGAGCCAGGTCGGTGAGCGAAAGAAGGCACAGGAAGAGGTACATGGGTGCATGAAGAGCACTGTCTGTCACAATGACCAGGATGAGGGCAGCATTCCCAGCCAGCGCTACAAGATACATGGCGCAGAAGGGGATGGCGATCCAGACGTGGGCCCACTCCAGCCCTGGGATGCCCGTCAGGATGAGTGTGCCTGGGAGACTGTCATCACTGATGTTGAAAGCAGGCATTCTGCTTGGAAATAAAGGCCCTTATCCAGGGATGATGGAATGCTTTCCCTGTAACATCAGGTGGTTGGGTCATTCACATAAAATGATGACCTTTCTGTGAAATAATCTTTTTTATGTTGAGAAAAGTATTTATTGCTATTAACTTATTCAAGAATATTGAAAGACTCTATCACATATAGTCTGCTGTTTTGTTTTGTTTTTTTCTGTTTGCTAATATCTGTGCTCATCAATCATGTTTTGAGGTCTATATTCCAACCACCAACCTAACTATTTAAGCATCTTTCCAATCTGATACATTATGACATATCTCCTACACATCCTATCCATCCTTTATTACTTTGGTCAACTCACATCAACAGTTGCTCCTTGCCTCTTTCATTTATGCCTTTTCCATGCTCATGGAGTCTTTGCTTTTATTTCCCCCCTTCTCTTTTTGCTAAGCTTCAGTGAAAAATTTTCTGCCTCCTAGAAGCCCTCCCTTTCTTCTGGCCCGTAAGTTTTTTGTTTTGTTTTGTTTGTTTGTGCTTTCATCCTTCTACTACTTTACAAAATCCCGTTGGCTGAGACTATGTCTTTATGCAATTGCGACCTCCACACTGACTATGCCCATGTCTGGACCTAGACATTTTGATCAGTGTTCACTAAAGGCTCAATGTTCACGAAAGCCAATGTAACATAACATTGGCTTTTGGACTTAGGATATAATAGTTCATCCAGTTTATTTTCTGTCCAATGTGTCTACATTGATATACATCACGTAACTATAGTTTCTATCTCACCATTAATGCCTAGAAAGAGATTAGGCTAACTGAATATACTTACATATGTACAATGATTTGAGAATTCATCAGGATATAGTAGAAGAAAGCAAGACATACATGAGGCATTCTAGCTGAGAGACAGCACTCTCTACTGTGGCAAAGCCAGCCTGAGGTCCTGCATGCCTCCCAGTGTGATGGCTGGATACTGAGGTTAGGTCAGAATACCAAGTGCTGACAGGCAGATCTCGGGAGGAAATTGAGTGTCCTATTGTTGCTCACAATGAAGACATTTTGGAAAGGAAATTTGTTTGTCGTTGTTTTTGTTGTTGTTTTTTCATTTGAGAGAGAGAGAGCGAGAGAGAGACAGCAAGCGGGGGAGGGGGCAGAGGGAGAGAGGCAGAGGGAGAGAATCTTAAGCAGTCTCCATGCTCAGCACAGAGCCTGATACAGGGCTCCATCCCACTACCCTAGGATCATGACCTGAGAGAAAATCAAGAGTTGAACGCTCAACCAACTGAGCCACCCAGGCACCCCAGGGGAATTTGTTTTTGTTGTAGAAGTCTAGACAGTATTTTCAAATGTTCTCCCTAGTAAATATATGGTCTACTAAAAAGAAATCTGTACAGGATTCTGAGAAATTTGAATTTTAGTTCTGATTCTCTAATAAAATTGATTTGTGATTTTGAACAAATCTTCCAATTCTTTGGCCAGTCTTAATTTGGAAAAATTAGTGACTCTATAGTCATCCTCTCTCATCTATCTGCTCATTTTATGGCACTGGAACAATCCCATAACTGATTTGGGCCCTCTTTTTTTTCCATCTATAAATTTGAAATGGCATCGTGGTTTAGTATCTTCACAAAGTTTCTGGTTGAGCAAACAGAATGTTCACGAGATTAAAAAAATTAGACACCCCAAACAATCGCTCCATTCTTTGCACTTCTTTATTTCTGAAAAACCTTCTGGAAAAAATATAGTCATCATTTGCACCCCTAATCAATGTGAAGACAAGCTCCAGAGAAGTAAACTGATGTCATCCACATCACAAAGCGTGTTAAGTCATTAGCACAACTGAAGCACAAATGAAGCACAACTGAAATGAGGCGCCTGATTTATATGTGCTGATTCAGAGTTTCAAGTTTTACTTCACCCAAGTGTTCATGAATCTGACCAATATCTGAATTCCTATCTCTTTCAAACAAGGCACTTTGTCTAATAACAATTCATAAGGCTGCAGTCACTTGATGCATTAATGAATATCAAAGAGATGAGGAGAATTAGGGAGCCCCTCCTGTTTGCACAGACTCTTTCACTGATGACACCAATGGATTTTCTCAGCCTTGACATGAGCCTTAACACTAAGGGAGAGAGGCTTGGATGGTGGAGGGAAGAGAGCTGGAATCACCACCATCTTATCTCCCCTCTCTTCCCAGCCTATTCTTGTCCCTTAAGGAAGATTTCATGTGGTTATGATACGATACTAGTACTCTAGACATTCTGAGATGTGGTGAGTAAAAACCTATGGTAAAATCAGAATTGGACTTTTTTCCCCCTGGGAAGTAATGGGAGAAGGATATTGAGAGAGTGTCACTCTAGTGCACAATGGGGGTGTCTTCCCAAAATTGTCCTAGAGTGTGTCCTTGTGTTCCCTTGTCTTACCTAGACCTCAGTCTGTATTCTTTCATTGAGCACAGCTGTTGGAATCTGATTTCAAGATCATACCTGTGTGGTAGACGCACACTTGCAGGTGGGGCAGGCTGAAGTTGGAGCTGTGTTGGAGATGTCTTGAGTGTGAGGCTGTGTGGACAGAGGGTGGTCCAGTGACAGCTTGTGCCAGAGGTGTGTATCTGAATCCACAGTGTGACTGAAGGAGGAGAAAGTTGTGTTTCTGTGCAGGTTTGGGTGAGTGTGGGATGAGGGAGCAGAGGGGGCTGAATGTGTAATCTGGGTTGAAATAGCTGATCTTGTCTCTCACCTGAGTTTTCTGGGCTCAGTGAATGTCTTCGGCTCAGCTCTATGGCCCAGCCTCCTCTGGTCAACGGGCTTGATAAGTGAGCTTATTTATTGACTCTGTCTGTGATGCTCAGGAGTGTAAAGCAAAGTGGCGACCTCCAGGGACTTGGTCCATGAAGCACACTTTGAAAAAGAGAACAAGAAAGGGGGTGGTGAAAAAATGAGAAAGAAATAAGGAGAATCTTCCTTGATGACTTTGTCAAGAAATAGAAATGAAAGTCTGGTATACTTTGATGTTTTATCCTCCCTCTTGTCTCTCTGTATCTCTTTTCTATCCTTGTTGCCTTGCTTTCTTCTCTTCTCTTTATTTCTGTGCCTCCTGGAACTCACTTTCAATGTGAATCCACCATAATTCTATGCTTCTCGGCAGCAAATAATGGTGGTGAAACATGCATACATGATTGTACTGTAGGCTTCATTTACAAAACACAAGTTCAAAGATCAAATTACCAAGAATTTCATTATGACGACAGCAGAGCTTTGAGAAAAGCACAAGGCCCTTCTGAGCATGGGCACCATGTAACTGTCCTGCTCGTTTGCCATGAAGCCAGGCCTGGTAGGAAATGACATCAGTGCTCTAGGTAGATCCTCTCAGCTCCCTAACTCCAACCATCTCTCTGCTCTCTGCACCAAGGATTCCCTCTGTCAAAGCCCTTTCCAGGATAGTTCATTTTTCTCCCATGTCTAAAAATACTCGACTCTCTCCCCTTGTAACAGATCTATCTCTGAATTATTTCAATCTAGAGGTCTTCAAACATTTCATATGGAGATTTCCTAAAAGAATATTCAAAACATGATATTACCTTCTATAACTCTAACTTGACTATAAGAATTATCATTAAAAGTTTGAAGAGTAGAAAAGGATGCAATTTCTGGTATATTGTGAAATTTGCCATTTAAAAATTAAATTCCCATAGACAATATTTAATTCATCCTATGGACGCTGTATGCCCTTGAAATTTGTAATTCACCACTATCCATTTAAAAGTATTTGAGCAAGTTTTTCTTAGCTGTCAGAAATTTGACATTATGCTTTTTCTGTTTGAAGTAACTCCATTTTCCCACATGTATTTTTTTTGCTTGAATGTCATTATGATAACTCTTCTATTCTTGTCAAAGAATAAGCAATTGCTTTATTTCCTGTACACTAGTCTCCAAATGTTAAAATGCTTTATTATAACAATGATTATAAAATACATTAATAAAATCAATATGATAATATTTAAAATGTCTGAATAATAATCATAGGGCTACTTTGTTTTGGAAATATTCCTTAATGAGGTGGATGGAGCTTTTACTTTCTTCCAAACCACCTCATGTATTCACAAGTCAATATTGATTCAATGAAGTGGGCTTCATGCTTAGTTATTCTTAATTTGATTTTGATTTTGATTTTTTAAATCGTTTTATTTATATTTTTGAGAGAGAGAGAGAGAAAGAGAGTGAGTAGGGGAGGGGCCGAGAAAGAAAGAGACACAGAATCAGAAGCAGGTTCCAGGCTCTGAGCTGTCAGCACAGAGCCCGACCTGGGGCTCGGGCTCATGAACCACGAGATCATGACCTGGGGAAGTTGGATGCTTAACTGACTGAGCCACTCAGGCGCCTATTAATTTTATTTTTAAAAGTAAAATCTTGGAACCCGTGGTTATGTAAGTTACTTAGCTGTGATGGAAGGAGTTTTGTTTCTGTGTTATGGCAATCAAGCTATAATTGAGAGTAACAGCTGTAATCAGCAATGGTCCTAAAAGAGGAGGTTCTGGCAAAAGAGGGTGCACTGGTAGTAGGATTCTGAGGAGGGATTCCAGCCAGGCAACGCTGGTATACATGAGGGACATGATGAGGTTGGTTCAAAGTAAGGGACAATTTTAAAATGTCACTTGGAACCTACTGTTTCTATGAGAATCAACTGGTACAGCCAAGGAAAACAGCGGATGCTAGAGTGACACTAACAGGAACAGAGTGTGCATAGGATAGACAAATCCCCTAGCCCTGCCCGAGCTCTCTAATCGGCCTCTACTGCCTTTTCAGGGCAGATTCTAACAGCCAGCCAGCAGGTGGAGGGAAAGTGTGGTCCCAGCCTAGGCATCCCCAAGCAGAGCACAGAAGGGTTTGAAGCTGAGAGACAATGGCTTAGCAATTAACACAAAAACCCAGTGATTCACATGTGTGTATGCATATGTTTTAACCTGTATGACACTGGGAGCTTGAGTACATATAAATCATATA